GGGAAAACGGGCAAAATCGGGAGAACTGAGGGTCCTGGGGGGGTCCTGCAGACCTTGGAGCCCCCGGCCAGCACCAGGTGTCGGGTCTTGCACACGAACATCCCCCCGTTCTCCACCAGCTTCTTGCAGTGCAGGAAAGCGAAGCCGCGGAAAAGGTGTCGGATCTCGCCCTCGCGGCCCTGGGGGGGGGGGAAAAGGGGGGAAAGACCCCAAAATGAGGGGGGTGAGGGGCAGAAAAGGGGGTGAAACTCAAAAAGGGGGGGGAAAGGCCAACATAAGAGGAGTGAGAGGCAAAAAAGGGGGTGTAAAAGTAAAAAAAGGGCGGGAGAAACCCAAAACAAGGGAGAGAACCCCAAAATAAGGGGAGGAACCCAAAAAGGGGAGGTGGAACCCCCAAAAGAGGAGGGGAAACCCCAAGAAGGGGAGGTGGAACCCCCAAAAGACGATGTGAAACCCTAAAAAGGAGAGCTGGAGCCCTCAAAAATGAGGGAACCCAAAAAGGGAGGGTAAATCCCAGAGCAGGGAGCAAACTCCAAACCAAGGGAGGGAACTCAGTGATGTTCTCAGAGCCACAGACAGAGCCTGGGACCCCCAAAACACCCCAAGGAGCCCCCCAGACCCCCCGGGGACCCCCCAAGCCCCCCCATGACGCACGGAGTGGGGGCCATCGATGACTTTGACGATGTCCTTGACGTGGATGTTGTTCTGCTCCGAGTCCAGGGCGACGGCGAAGCGATTGTCCTTCTTCCTGGTGACGGCCTGGTGCCGCACCGTCACCACCTTCCCGTACATGTTCAGCACCTGGGGGGGACACGGGGGTCAAGGGGGGGCCTTCCCTAAAGTGGGGGACCCCCCTGGGGGCGGGGGGCACAGCCCTGGGATGGGGCAGAGCTCAGGGACCCCCCAAAACACGGGCACAGTGCTGGTCTGTGACTGCCTTCCCCTACACGGGGGGGGCACGTCTGGGGGGTCTTGGCCAAAAAACTGGGGACCCCCTCCCGGGGTCAGGGGGAACCCCCCTGGGGTGGGGGGAACCCCCCTGGGGTGGGGGGCACAGCCCTGGACAGGGCAGAGCTTGGGGACCCCCCCCCATCCGCAGGACACGGATTTGGGGTCCAGGATCCACCTGTTGGGGGGAAACCTGGGGGGTGACAGTGGGGACCCCCAGATTTGGGAACCTTCCACATTTGGGAGTCCAGGATCCTCCTGGATTTAGGAGGGGTGCGTCTGTCTCAGCTGGAAAGTGACCATGGAACCCCCATATTTTGGGGGGTCTCACCTGGAAGGTGACTGTGGAACCCCCATATTTTGGGGGGGGTCTCACCTGGAAGGTGACCGTGGAACCCTCATATTTTGGGGGGTCTCACCTGGAAGGTGACTGTGGAACCCCCATATTTTGGGGGGGGTCTCACCTGGAAGGTGACTGTGGAACCCCCATATTTTGGGGGGTCTCACCTGGAAGGTGACCGTGGAACCCCCATATTTTGGGGGGGGGGTCTCACCTGGAAGGTGACCATGGAACCCCCATATTTTGGGGGGTCTCACCTGGAAGGTTTCCCTCTCGAGCCTCACGATCACCCCCACGGTTTGGGGGTCCAGCTGCACCAGCTCCCCCCACTCGTGCTGCCCCCCCACGTCCACCCCCGACGCCGTCTCGGAGCAGAGCTGCAGGTCCCGGGGCAGCACCTTCAGCTGGGGGGGAGGGAAAACACACCCAAAATCCTCAGGATTCACCCCAAAACGGGACTGACACAAAATCCCTGGCGTTCACCCCAAAATCCCCGGGGCTGACCCCAAAGCGGGACTGACACAAGCCCCTTGATTTCACCCCAAACCTGGACTGACCCCAAACCCCTGGGATTCAACCCAAACCGACCCCAAACCCCAAACCGACCCCAAAGCCCTTGTTTTTCACCCCAAACCAACCCCAAACCCCTTGTTTTTCACCCCAAATGCTCCCCTGACCCCATTTCTCATGTTTTTCACCCCGAACCCACCTCGTGCATGGTGAGGTCGGAGAAGAGGATGACGAAGTTCTCCTCCACCCTCACGATCAGCCCCGTGTCGCCCTCGAACCTCCCCGCGATCACCTTCACGTGGTCGCCCATCCGAAAATACTTCCTGAGCTCCTGGGCCGGGAACTCCAGCATGTCCTGGAGGAGACACCCCCGTCAGGGCTGCCAAAAGGGGTTTTGGGGGGCCCTTTGGGGGGTTTTGGGGGGCTCCAGACCTTGAGGTCCTCGTGCTTGGGCATGATGGTGATCTTGTTGCCGTCCACGCTCAGGATCTTGCCCTGCAGGTTGATGAGCTCCCCCTCGCACACCTCCACGTTGTCCCCGGGCTGGAAGTTGTGCTCCCGCTCCTTCCCTGGGAGAGAAATGGGATTTGGGGCCTGGGGGGTGCTGGGGAGGGGGATCTGGGGGGGATTTTGGGGGGCTGCTGGAGGTGGCTCAGCTCCCCCTCGCACCCCTCGACGTCGGGCTGGAAGTTGTGCTCCCCGGGGGAGTTTGGGGTTGGGGGTGCTGGGGAGAAGGGTTTGGGGGGATTTGGGGTCTGGGGAGGGCGTTTGGAGGGGGTTTTTGGGGGGCTGGGGACCCCCCTACCTGTGCTCTCAGTCACCACCTCCAGGTCGATGCCCTCGGGCTGGTCCTCGAACTTCTCCAGCTCGGACAGGGTGGGTTTTACCCCCTCCGTGATCTGGGGGGGTTTGGGGGGAACTGGGCTCAGACTCGGGGGGGGTTCGGGCTCAAGCCGTGCGTTTGGGGTTCCCACGGGAGGATTTCGGGTTCAGAAAGGGGGGTTCTGGGTCTCACCACGGCCGACATGGCGAAGCTCTTGAACAGGAAGCCCTTCCTGCTGTACCGGTTGCCCTCGAAGATCAGGAAGTCGCCGTCGGAGGCCACGTCCCCCCCCAGGGACCTGCGGGACCCCCAGGTGAGCCCGGGGGGTGGATCCCAGGGGGTGGATCCCAGGGGGGGATCCCACGGGGAGGCTCCCAGGAAGGATCCCGGGGGGGGGGGCGGTACCGGATTTTCTCGGCGTCGAAGAGTCTCTGGGGCGGCCGCTTGAACTTCTTGCGTTTGGCGAACCAGTCCTTCTGCGGGGGGAGGAGAGGGATCCACTCACCCACGGGGATCCACCCGCAGGGATCCACTCACACCCACAGATCCACCCACGGGGATCCACTCACCCCCAGGGATCCACCCCAGGGATCCACCCACAGAAATCCAACTACCCCCAGGGACCCACTCACCCACG